GTCCCATTAAGAAACCGAGGATTAGAAAAGTTACACAGTTTGGGCCTCCCCGGTGGTGCAGCAGTTGAGCGCTGGGTTGCGAAGCTGCCCGCAGCCTCTGCAGTGCCGGTTCGATCCCCGGCTGCTCCCCAGCCACCAGAGGAGGGTCCCACAAGGCGCGCAGACCTCTCCTGCTGCCCGCTGCTCCCCTCAGCAGTGTACTTCGGTCCTTCTGCCTGCTCTGCTCCCTGCTCTGGCTCTGGTGAATTCTCTTACCCTCCCGCGCTTCTGACTGTATCCAGTGCTTGAATAAATAAATAAATAAATCTTTAAAAAAAAAAAAAAAAGAAAAGTTACACAGTTTGCCCAAAGTCACCCAGTCTATAAATGGAGACTTTCACACTCCAATACCCATACCTTTAACCACTTTGATAACTGCCTGATCCACCAATAAAGTGAGATCCTAGATTTGACTTAGTTCATTTAGTAGAGATCAAATGTCACCAATAAATAACTTATCTTTTACTTTTATTCATTCATCCTTTCAACAAGTGTTGATTAGGCACCAGCTGTGTACTAAGCATTGCTATGGGTTCTGGGAAACAACAGTTAACAAAATAGAACAGAATGGATAAAAATGTCTATTTTCCTGGAGCACATATTTTAGTGGAGGTGGGAGAACAGATAATAGACAAGATAAATAAGCAAGATATAATACTGTTATATTGTAATATACACTATGTTAAATCGAGGGAGAGTCAGAGATGGGGTGTGTATACAATGATGGTGGGGGTGAGGTTTACAATTCTGGGAAAGGATGACTTCATTGAGAAGGTGATATTTGAAGGGGTCAAGGAAATGAGTCATATGGCTGTCTGGTAGAAAAGTTTTCCAAGCAGAAGAAATAGCAAATCCAAAGGCCCAAAGGTGAGGCACTGCCTCGGGTGGTCAAGAAACAGCAAGAAGATCAGTGTGGCTGAAGTAGATAGAGTGAGGGAGAGCGCAGTAGGGAGATGAGGTCAGGGGGAGAACAGGGCCAGCTCATGCAGGCTTGAAGGTCACGGTCAGCATGATGGTTTTTAACTTGGAGGGAGACTGTGAACTGTTGGAGGATTTTGAGCAGAGGAGTGTCATTTGACTCGAATTGCAATAGGAGCACTATGGTTGTGATGTTGAGCACAGAGTTAAGGTGGGGCCAGGACGGAAGCAGGACCCCATCAGCTAGAAGCTTATTGTAATAACCCACACAAGATCTGATAGTGACTTGGTCCAGGATGGCAGAGTAGTGGTCAGATTACCAATAAGCTGTGAAACTAGAGCTGCTGTTCTGATAGGTCAGATATAAGGTATAGAGTATAACTCCACGGTTTGGGATGTAAGCAGAAGGAATGAAGAGTTGCCATTCTGAGATGTGAAAGACTAGGAGCGAACTTGGGGGATGAAAATCAGGAATGGAGTTTGGGACATGTAAAGTTCATTTATTCACTGAGGTACAATTATACAAAACATTATAGTAGTTTCAGTTATAAAGTAATGATTAGATATTTGTATACCTTGTGAAATGATCACCACAACAAATCTAGTTAACATTCATCTCCATAATAGTTGAAATTCTTTTTTCTTGTGAATGATAATGTTATTGGGCTGGGTGAGGGGGTACCCCCAAGCCCTTAAACCTGCCTGCTCTAAATAGGTTCTGCCATTCACTGCATCAAGACAAAACATACTCTAGTGCGTAAGATCTTCTATGGAAAAGTAACTTTAATACAACTAGTGTGCAGTAAAGAGAAGCAAAGGGAAAGAATAGATTAACAGTTTTCACACAAAATACCCAAAGTTAACCATCCACTTGTGGGTAAATGCCCAGCCAAGTGTGACTGCTGAGGCCCAAAAGTTAGCCACAAGTCTAACGCACCTTGTGGTGGGGACCCATAGGAAAGGGGCAGAAGCCAAGGAAATCTAGAAGGAAAAGAGCAAAATTAAGATCAAGATAAAGGCTGCCATCTTTAACCTCCCCACAGGTGTCTCACCCACGTTTGTTTCAACTGCCTAATAACCCTAGCTTGCCCTGTCTCACTTTCATGATCCCCAAGACCCTGGTACAAGTCCAAGGCCGAGAACTAAGTACAGCTTCTTCACATGTCTCTCTGCTCCATGTGCCTCCTCCAGGGCTCCTTGATCTCTATCTTTCTCCACTTCCAGTCTCCTCTCCAGCTGCTTCTTCTCCCTGCTCAGCTCCACCCTTCCTTAGGGTGGGGCAGGGATCCTGGAACCTCCCCTCTCCCTGGGGGCCACCCTGTTACAATAATAACTGGCATTGTATAGAAGAGGAAAAATTTATTCTTGGAAGTTAAAATGAAGATTAACCCAGAAGAAGAGACTGGGTGAAAAGGAGTCCCAGCCAACTACTTCTTCACTCCCCCCCCAGGTTGGGTTTAATATATTTATATATGTAAGACGTGGAGACAGGCAGGGTTCTCTCAGGAAAGAGGGTGCATTGAGACAAGCTTGTCAGAAACTTGTTGGGTATTTTTTAGGCACATGTTCATTTCCAGACAGGGCAATGTGCTTACCTAGACAGGGCAGTGTGCAGACATTAACACCTGATCTCTGGGAGGTAATTTGCATGTGAGAAAGACAAGAATTTAGGAGATAAAGATTCTATCATAAGGAAAATGTCTCTTGATTAAACATCTCCAGAAGAGATGCTTCAGGCTTTAGGCTGTGATTCATGGGGATGGTAAATGGATAAGAAGACTCTTCACAGGAGGACTACAATTAATGCCTCTGCCTCTGCTTTCTCTTTGCCCATATTCTGTTCATATTTTATTTTGTTTGCTTTTATTTTGAGAACTTTTAGGATCTACTCTCTCAGCAACTGTCAAATATGTGATACTGTGTTATTAACTATGCCACCATGCTTTACATGACATTCCCATGTCTTCTTTACTTTGTAACTGGAAGTCTGTGGACACGTTAAATTTAAAATACCTGACATCTCATTGTGGATGTCAAGTAGGTAGCTGGAGTCATCACCGTTAAATTGTATAGAAAATTACAACTCTGGATGGGATCCTATAAGAAACAGGTATCGGTAGAGAGGAGAAGAGGTACCAAGATTGAGCCCAGAGCACTTTAGTGGCTAAGAAGATGAGGAACCAGCAAAGGAGTGTAAGTGGTCATAGAGGCAAGAAGCTATAGGGGTGTTGCATCCTACTGTTGCACCATGAAAGTATGTCAATGAGGAGAGAGGGATTAGCTGGTGGATCAAATAACAGGAACAATGAGAACCCTTAGATTTAATAATGTGCATGTCACTGGTGACCTAGATAAGAAGGAGTGGTGGAAATTGAAAGGTGAATGCAGGAGGCCAGAATGCAAAAGCCCACCAGGAAACCCACCTGGGGGCAGGAATGCAGAAGCCTGCCTAGAAAATTCAGACAATGAACCCCTCCCCGCCCAAGAATCTTTTCCGGCCTTGCAAACCCAGTCTCCCACCTGACCTCTCCTCACCCTATAAAAGCCTGCCTCCCCCTGGCAACGTGCAAGGCTTCACCGACCCCCACCTTGGGTCCGTGAATCCCACCCGAGGCGCAATAAATCCCCCCCCCTCGAGAAATTTAGCCTGGCTCTCCTTTTCTTTACCATGCTGAACATTTCAGAAATCCTTATTAGAGTGGGTTCAAAAGTGACTAGGAGGAAGGAAATGTGGGACTAAAAGTATGGACAATCCTTTCCAGGAGTTTTCTTAAAAGGGGGAAAAAAGCCATGGGGAGGGGAGAAAGTAGCTTCAAGAAGAGGTTATTGGTTTAAAGATAGGAGAAATAACTGTTTCTATGCTGTTCGCAAAGATCCAAGAGAGAAATTTCTTAGCATCTCCATGCATGTGGTGTTTACTAGTCTGTCACAATTGTATTAGGCCATATGCCCTGGTTCTCAAACTTTGTTGCATGTTAGAAGTACCTGAAAGAGTTTTTCTTTTAAAAATATTAATGTCCAGGGGCCTCCCCGGTGGCGCAGCGGTTGAGCGCTGGGTTGCGAAGCTGCCCGCAGCCTCTGCAGCAACGGTTCGATCCCCCGCTGCTCCCCGGCCACCGGAGGAGGGTCCTACATGGCGCACAGACCTCTCCTGCCGCCCGCTGCTCCCCTCAGCAGTGTACTTTGTCATTCTGCCTGTTCTGCTCCCCGCTCTGGCTCTGGTGAATTCTCTCACGTTCCCGCGCTTCTGACTGTACCCAGTGCTTGTATAAATAAATAAATAAATCTTAAAAAAAAAAGAAGAGAAAATAGTTTTAAAAAAATCTTAATGTCCAGACCAATTAAATCAGAATCTTTATAGTTAGGGCTCAGGGCGTGTATGTGTGTGTGTGTGTGTGTGTGTGTGTTTATGAAATTATTATTATTGGCCAGGCCTCTGCTAGGTGATTCAAGCAGCACTACAAAAGCCATTTGCTCCATCCAACTTCTTTCCCATCTACTAAGTCCTTTGTTCTGCTGTCCTGTCCAGTTTCAGAGGAGGTAAAACAATATGCCATTATCAATGATTAACATCTTAGAGAAAACTGCTCCAGGCTCTTACCAGTGTGATAATTAGGATAATAGAGGACCTAGCTGGAATGATAAGGCACAGATAACTTTTCCTTGAGGGTAGAGAGAACAATTCTAAATTTGTCATTCCTAGGATTCTATATCATGATTGTAGTTGTTCTTTTCAGTTAGAAGTTTGCAAAAGGCTACTTGTCATGCCTTTTGTTTTCCTCTTGTTATTGCAAGCAGAATGCTGTGAAAAAGCAGAACATTATGTCCACCTAACATACAGTGCCTTTTCAAGGTTCACTGTGGAAGCTAAGGCTTGAGGTCTCTATCACTTCCCTCTTGTTTTGGGGAGTAAGTACTGGATGTACTAGTACTAGTGTAACAGGGCAATCCCCAGGGACAGGGGAGGTTTCCCCTTTCCACCCTAAGGAAGGGTGGAGTTAAGAAGCAAGGAGAAGTAGAAGAAGACTGGAAGAAGTCTTCCAGGAGATCAAGGAGACCTGGAGGAGGCACAGAGAACAGAAACACATTTGAAGAAGCTGTGCTTGCTTCTTGGCCTTGGACTTGTACCAGGGAATTGGGAGACATGGAAGTACACACATGGAAGAGACAGAGCCATAGGTGAGAGACCCATGGGGAGCTGAAAATGTCAGCTTTGTCTTGATTTTGATTTTGCTCTTTCCCCTTCAGACTTACCTGGCTCCTTCTGCTCCCTTCCTATAGGTCCCTACCAGAAGGTGCCTTAGATTTGTGGCAAGCTTTTGGACCTCAGTGGTCCTACTTTGGGTCAACCCTGTTAGGGTGGGCATTTACCCATGAGGGGATGGATAACTTTGGGTGTTTCATTTGAAAACTATTTTATCTATACATTTCTTTCTCTTTATTGCACACTAATTGTATTAAAGCTATTTCTTAGACAGTCTTATGCACCAGAGTATGTTTTGTCTTGATGCAGTAGATGGCAGAACCCATTTAGAACAGGCAGGTTTGGGGTTCCCTGGGTGCCTCTCACCCTGTCCGGTTACACTAGTAGGTATGTTATAGAGCAGCCCCGATATTAAACGGGTTCCTGGCTGTGGGTCCTCACCCGCGCGCTTTAAAGGGACTTATGAATACTCTACTACAGACACACACAAAAAGGTTAATAAAAGGTTTATTTACAAGAGGAAAGGAAATAAGGAAAATGTACAACTCAGGGAGAAAATAGGGAAATAAAGTCTTTAATGCGTCCTACCCGATCCGACGACCTGGAAACCCAAAGTCACTCTCAGAGCTGGCCGGACACTGCGAGCTGGTGGAGAGCCAAAAATGGGGGAACCTCCAAAGCCCACGTGTCTGCCTTTTATATCCACCTGGCTGCTTAACCCCACCCTCAGGTCCCAGCCACCTTCCCTTTGGTGGTGATGGGATTTGGAGTTCCCAGTGTCTTTGGCTTTGACCTGGGGTGGGGGTGGAGTCCACAAAGCCTATATGGAATTAGCTTTGGGACATCCTTTTCCCCCTAACAGGTACACAGTCCTATGGTGTTCCATAAGGATGTCACATATAAGGCCTGATTGGTTTATAGTATCAATTATTGCTGTATCAATTATTGTATAGTATCAATGATTGTAGACTTTTTTTAGACAACGGAATATTAGTGGCAGTGAACAAAGACTTGAAAATGTGCTTGTGTGACTAGGCTTGTTTTCTTGTGCTTTTCAATAAGCTTGAGAAGATGTATCCCTGGTAGCCTGCTGGCTTAAGGATACCAAGAGACAAGTGGAGGAGAATTAGATCCAAATTGCAGCTTGGAGCCAACCCCTAGTCAACCCAGACATAACTGACTGAGAAAAAGTGATTGTTGTTTTTAAGTCACTGAGATTTGGGGTGATATGTAATGGAGGACAGGAATAGAAAAAAAAAAAAAACTGAAAAGGACATGTGCCGTAAGACCAGAAACCTAGCTCACACAAGGATGTGGGGGTAGAAGGGATTAGCATAGCCACTGATACAGCTATGGAAACCAAGATCCTCAGGTGCCAATGCCCAAATTACACAGCATAAGACCCAAGCAGGTATCAGACTACTGTAGGGAGTGTCTAGAGCACAGGCCCAGGGGTAAAGATAAAGAGATTGAGCCCATTGTGGAATCTAGGTCTTTTTCAGATTCTGCATTGTTATCCAAAATCAGTGACTAACCCAAAAGCTCAGGAGGAGTGAGCCCCTCCCAAACAGAAGCAGACTATATCAGTGCAGTCTCTGCACAGGCTTGGGGCAGCACCCGCCCACCTGTGACTATGCAGGTGCTTCTTTTCACCAAATCTCTCCCTCCACAGGGCAGTAGCTTTCTGGCTGCCCGCAGCTTTCTGGCTGCCCGTGACCTGTACTATGCAGGGACTTCTCTTCACTGACCTCCCTCAGCGGAGGCTGCTCTCCTCAAGGCCGCCCGCCTGCAACCGTGCAGGCCTCTCTTAGCAAACCTGTCCCTTTTGGGGCAGCTCTTCCTGACTGCTTGTGTCTATGGAAGTGTCCTTTATTCTTCTGTCCCCTGGGAAGCTCACCGCGTTTCGCTGAAATGGGAGCTCTGGTGAAACCCTTCCCAGAGTGAACCCAAGGACCCCGCACTCCAAACATACAGACTCCAAAACAACAACAATATGCCTCTAGAATTAATTTGGTAATACGTGGCTGATATAATAAGTTACACCCATGTATACATGGGTGTCAGAAGGTGTTATGTGGAAAAAAACTGAAAGTATGTGTATAAGGGAGAGTGCTGGGGTGAAGGAGTGATTTGCAATGTTAAATAGGGTGATCAGTGTGGCAAGAGCAGGTGAGAGATGGGGACAGGGCTAGGGTATAAGGATTATGGTGAAACCAGATCGTGCTGGGTCTTGCAGGCCATTGAAAGGATTTGAATCAGTTGTTTCTCAAAGAAGTCCTACTTTGGCTTATTATTATCAAATTGGTATTGTGCCTATTAAACAAAATATCCCATGAATTTATACCAATCATTCCAAGTTACACTCAGGATAACATGGGAGTTTATTAGACTTTTCTCACCTTACATCTATATTTCTTTTTTCCCACACTGAGCATCTTTAGGCTCTAGGACAGCAGCAGGGTTGATTGATAAAAATACACTCAATTACTTGTTTTCTTTATTCCATGGAACATATAAGGGTGAAATACACATATATTTTGACCAGCAATTCTATTTCTTGGTATTTATTCCAAGAGGGATGTTCCTTTTTGTGGATAAATAAGCATGTTCCAGGATATTAATGTGGTCTATTTTATAAAAGACGGGAAAAAATTAAAACCACCCTACCATCAGTAGGGTAATAGGAAAATGAATCATGGTGTAGCCATAATTCGTGTGTGTGTGTGTGTGTGTGTGTGTGTGTGTGTGACATTAAGAAGGAAAAGTTACAGAACAAAAATAATAGCTAGCATTTCCTTAGGGCTTACAATGTGGTAGACATTGTCCCAAGTGCTTGTATAGTATTAATCGACTACTGATGTCATTATAACTCTACCTATGAGGTAGTCAATATCATTAACTCAATTTTACAAATGACAAAACTGAGGCACAGAGTATCTAAGGAAATTCTCTAAGGACAAATAGATGGTAAGTATTAAAAAATGGGGATTTGAATTCAGGCAGTTTGACACTAGAACCTCCACAGTACAGCACCTGCTTCATTTACTTAAGTAAATGAAACATATATATTCACATATATGTATTTTATTTCATAGAGAAAGATCTGGAAGGATGTGTCTCTTACTGGAATTGGTGATTACCTTGGGGTAGGAGAGTGAGATGTGGTGAACCAATAGGGACCTTTACTCAGTCTATATGATTTAAATTTTAATAGGAAAATAAAGGATATAGTCACATATTATTCCTTTTTTTAAAGATTTTTTTATTTATGCATACAAGAACTGGGGTACAGGCTAGAGGTGTGTGTGGGGGTGAGAGGATTCACCAGAGACAGAGTAGGGAACAGAACAGGCAGATTGACTGAAATACACTGCTGAGAGGAGCAGCAGGCAAGTCAGGGGAGGTCTGCTGCACCATGTGGGTAGCTCCCTGGCTGGGGATCAAACTCACCCCGCCAGAGCTGCAGCTTCACAAGTTGTGTCTTAACCCCTTGTGCCACCAGGGAGGCCCTAACCATATATTATTTCTGTAATTTAAAATGTTCTTAGAAGAAATGGCTGAAATCTATTTTTGGTAGTGGCCTATGGGACCAACCTTCTTAAAGATTAAAAAAAAATTAACTCTGGAAAAATTTGAAAAGGAACTCACTCAAAGGATTAGAAAACAATAGAAAGCAAACAGATTCTAGAGGGGAGTTAACAGCTGGTCAAAGAGAATGGCTAAGAGTAAGCTTCCTTTTTTACACTTTTTTCCTGAGGGCAGGCCCTAGTCCTTGCCATATGAAACAATATAATATATGATAAAAAGACAAAAAGTAGGGCCTCCTGGGTGGTGCAGCAGTTGAGCACTGGGTTGCGAAGCTGCCCACAGCCTCTGCAGCGCCGGTTCGATCCCCGGCCACCAGGTGAGGGTCCCACATGGTGCGCAGACCTTTCCTGCAGTGTCTGCTGCTTCCCTCAGCAGTGTACTTTGTCATTCTGCCTTTTCTGCTCTCTGCTCTGACTCTGGTGAATTCTCTCACCCACCTGCACTTCTGACTGTACCCAGTGCTTGTGTAAATAAACAAACACATCTTTAAAAAAAAAAAAAAAGACAAAAAGTAGCAGATTTTCTGGATTGAATACCCACAGGGTAGATTTTGGAGCAAGCACAGCTGCTGGGAAATGAGGGAAGACACTTACAAAGGAAAGGGGCAAAGAAGAAGAAGCACAAAGTCTGTGTATAAATTCTTTACAAATCTTTGTTGACCTCTGAACTTCAGTGTTACAGAGAAAACTCCAAGAAGTTCAACTAAGGATTAAAATATTTTTGATCTAGGATCAAGCTGCCACCCAGGAGTCAGTTTGAGTCCAACCATTTAATTGCCCACTAAAACAAAAATATCAATAGTCCTCAAGGAAGTATAACATTACCCAGAGTTTCCACAACATAATATTCACAAAATCCAGGTTACAATCCAAATCATATGATAATGAAATACACTAGAAAAAACAATTCAATGAAAACCAACACTGACTCATGTTGGAATTAGTAGGCAAGCGTTTTTAGCAACTACTAAAACTATGTTCAATAAAAATATATGCATAAAATGAATAAGATATTGGAGAATCTCAGCAGAGATATAGAAACTGTAAAATTGAAACAGTCGAAAATTCTAAAATTGAAAAATACAGAAATTTTTAAAAATACCAAATTGGTTTCACAACATAAGGTGGATAGATGAACTTGAAGAGGGAGCCACTAATCCAATCTAGAGAAAAGAGACAAAAATAAAACAGTAGTCTCATGGATCAGTGGGGCAACATCAAAAGGTCTAGCTTATGCGTAATTGGAGTTCCAGAGGGAAAAGAGAGACTAAAACAGGCCAAGAACTGACTGAAAATATCCCAAATTTGGTAAAAGATATACATTTATTCACTCAAGAATCCCAATGAACCTCAAGAAGAATAAGTACAAGAATGCCATGCCTAGGCAAATTATAATCAAACTGATGAAAACCAAAGATAAAGAGAAAATGTGGAAAAGCACTGGAGAAAAAAATACAGGGAAACAATGATTCAAATAATCTTAAAGGTACCCAAATGTTGGAATTGGAGTGCAGAAGATATTTGAGTCATGCCTTTAAAGTGGTGAATGGATTCAAACAACTCAACTTAAAATTCTATAGCCAGAGAAATCCATTAAGAATGTAAATGAAAATAGTTTTACATAGAAGAAAACATAGAGACTTTGTCTCCAGGAAACCAGTACAACAAGAAATAATAAAGGAGACATTCAGGCAGAAGGAAAATGATAGCCAGCTGAAAACAGGAATCTCCATGAAGGGTCAAGAGTATCAAAATGGTAAATATCTAGTAAATATAAAAGTATTTCCCTCTTCATTTTTTTTTTTAAAACATATAACTAAAGGAGAGACTATAACATTATTGCTTGGGATTTAAAATGTATAGAGATGTTATGTATCTGACAACTATAGCATACGGATAGGAATGGAAGTACATTTATTTAAACAGCTGAAGGATTTCCATAATTTATGTGAAGAGGTAAAATAATAACTATACGTAGATGATTAAAACTTAAGGATATATATTGTAATCCCGAGAGCAGCCACTAAAAGTGCAATGCAAAGAAGTATAACCAAAACACACATTTTAATTTAGAATAGAATTCTAAAAAGTGTTCAAATAATCCCAAAGAATCAAGAGAGGAGGAAGAGAAGATAACAAAGACTGAGGTGTAAGCAGGAAAGAAATAACAGACTTATATTCAAACATGTCAATAATCTCATTACATATTAATGAACTAAATACACTGATTTAAAGACACTCACATTAATTAAAAATTCAAGACTTAACTGTGTATTGCTTCTAATGGAGATTTCTTATTTTTTTAGAGAAGTATATTTTAATTTCCATGTGTTCAGAATATTTTCTATGTGTTTTATTGGAATTTTAAGTTTTTTCTCTGTAGAGTTCTATGTAGTTGTAATTAGGTTATTTACTTATTTACTCATTCTATTATTTTCTATTGAGGTAACATTGGTTTACCACACTGTGTATATATTCACACCTCTTTCCACACCATACCCACCACCAAGGGTGCGCTCCCATAATCCTCCACCACAGTCAACTGGACTCTCTCTCCTCTCTGCTCCTCATCCTCTACCTTCCATTGCTGGTAGACTCAATCTATGCTCATATTTCTCTTTTCTTTAATTATTTATTAGTATTTATTTCTTACATCGTTGTTCATTTTTGTACAGTATTTGATTTCTCCCCTCAGGTTTAGTCCCCATGATTCTCCCATGAACCATCATCACAGTCCCCTGTGCTCTTTCCTCCCTATTCTGACCCATCTCCCTAACCCTCCCCTGTTGGATGCCTCAGCTCTACAGTCAGCTTGCTCTAAGGTCATATTATAAGGTTCGTTTTGGTTCAGTTTTGTCTGCTTCTTTGTTTTGTTTCAGTATATTCTACATAGGAGTGAAATCATCTGGTATTTGTCTCCTTCTGATTTATGTCGCTTGTTATAATTCCCTCCAATTCTATCCATGTTGTCACAAAATAGCAACTTAAGTGCACAACAATGTATGTGGATTAAGGAGCTGTGGAATCTACTCAAAGGACACAAAAACACTAATTCAAAAAGATACCTGCAACCCTATGTTTATTGCACCACTATATACAACAGGTAAGAGATGGAAACAACCCAAATGCCCCAAAATAGATGACTGGATCAAGAAGATGTGGTACATATGCACAACGGAATACGATTCAGCAATCAAAAAAGGTAAATTCATGCCATTCACAGCAACATGGGTGGAGCTGGAAGGGATTATGCTCAGTGGATTAAACCAGAAGGAAAAAGAAAAATATCAGATGGTTTCACATACAGGAGGAATATAGGGGAACCAAATAAGGAATCAGGAAAAAAAATAACAACAACAATAATAAAAACCAACAACAAAATTAGCAGGCAACCATAAATCAGAGACATTCTGAGAGGGAGGGGGAGAGGGATCAAAACGGGAGAGAAGAGCACAAGGGACTATGGTGAATTGGTGGGAATTTTATGGGGATACACAATGATGTAAAAGATAAATTAAAAAATTAATTAATTAAAAAATAATGAAAGAAAGAAGCTGTAGTACAGATACATAATGGAATGCTACTCAGCTATTTTTAAAAATGATGGAATCTTGGCATTTGGATACACAGGAAGGCAAGATGGTTTGAAAGAAAATGAAAGAAAAAAGATACACCAATAAAACTATAAGCGTAAGAAGAGTGTCTACATAAATATCTATAAACTAGACCTTGAGAAAAAGAGAAAAATTTCATAACAATAAATGGGAAAATTTATCAGAAGACATAAAAATCATATATATGCTTAATAAAAGAGTTTCCAAATACATGAAACAAAAATGGACAGAATCAAAGGACAAATAGATTGTTCCAGCCACATTTGGTAATTTTAACACCTCTCTCAACAACTTATAGGAAAATAGACAACAATATTATTAAAGAATATGTGATATGAGCATCACTACCAACCATCTTGACTCATGCAATATTTCTAGACCACTGCCCCCTACGGAATGCATATTTTTTCTAGTGCTCATGCTATATTCACCAGGATAGATTATATATTTGGGGCATAAACAAATCTCAATAAATTTAAAAGGCTGATATTGTTGTGGGTTGAATTGTACCACAAAGATATGTAAAGTCCTAACCTCTCGGTATTTCAGAATTTGCCCTTATTTGGAAATAGGGTCATTTAGAACAGGGTGATTAGTTAGAACAGGTCATTTAGAACAGGGTGATCACTGTGGGGTAGGATGGGCCTTTAGTCCAATATAACTGGTGTTCTCCATAGGAAGAGGACCGAGACATAGATGCACAAGGGGAGAGGACTGTATGATGATGGAAGCAGAGAGTGACATGCTGTAGCTACAAACAACGGAATGCCAAGGAGTTCTTGTCATCAGAAACTAGGAAGGAGAAAAGAGGGATCCTTTCCTAAAGGTTTCAGAGGCAGCTTGCCCCTCGTGCTTCCAGAACTGTGAGATAATAAACTTCTATTGTCTTAAGCCAGCCAGTGTGTGACTCTTTGTTACAGCAGGATACAGAAATACCATGCAGAGCTCATTCTCTGACCATGGTGGAATTAAATTAGAAATTAATAACAATAAAATATCTGGAAAGAAACAAAAATATTTGGAAATTAAACAACACACTCCTCAATAACCCATGGGTCAAACAAGAAGTCACAAGAAAAATTATATCATATTTAAAACTGAGTGATAAAACAACTGATAATAGAATTAATGGGCTATAGCTAAAACTATGCATAGAAGGAAATTTATAGCTTCAAACACATACTGGAAAAGAGAATGTTCCAAGTTCAGTCATTTAGATTTCCAGCCGTAGAAATAAGAAAAATAAGAGCAAATTAAACCAAAAGTAGAAGAAAGGAAATAATAAGGATAATACAGAAGACAATGAAATAGGAAACAGATAAAAAATAGAGAAAGATAATAAAGCCGGAAAATGATTCTTTGAAAAGAGCAACAAGAATTGATAATGCGCTAATAACACTGATTAAAGGAAAAAACAGAAAACACTATTAACCAAAGTCAGGAAAGAAAGAGGGTTTACCACAAAAGATATGCAATTGTTAAAATTATTTTAAGGGAAATTTATAGATTAGATTTGAAGCTAAAACATTCAACGATGTAAATAAAATAGGGAAATTATTTTAAAACACAACTCACTAAAACTGACACAAAACTGAAAAGCTGACGATTATTATATATATGTGTAAACTTGCTCTGAAAGAAAATTCCAGATACAGATCTTCACTGGTGAAGTCTATCAAACATTTAAAAATTAAATACCAATCTTACAGAAAATAGAAAAGTACATAATATGTTCCAGTTAAATTTTATAAGGCCAGAATAACTCTGATACCAAACATGGTAAAGATGTTTTAAAAAATGAAAGTACATACCAGCATCCCTTATGAACACGGGTGCAAATCTCCTAAACATATTATTAATAAATGGGATCTCACAATATAATAAAAGGTTAAAATATCAAGAACAATTAGGGTTTATCCTAGGAATGCAAAGTTTACTTAAAACTTGAAAATCAATCAATGTAATTCAGGATATTAGCAGTACATAGGGGGAAATTATATGATCACATCCTTATGTGAGGAGAAACATTTGACATAATCAACATTCATTCGTGATAAAAAAAAAATGTTAATCAAACCAGGAATAAAAGCAATCTTCCTTAGTCTGGAAAAAAGGGATCTACTATCATACCTAATGGCAAAATTTCGAACATTTTAACCACTTTTAATCAGCATTGTATTGGATGGCCTAGCCACTGCAATAAAGCAAGCAAAAGAGGTAAAAGACATACGTATCAGAAAGAATGCAAATTATTTCAATTTGCATGTTATCTGCTTGTTTATCAAGAAAATCCTAAAGAATCTAAAACCACAACTGGAACGGATGTGAAAATTTAGGATAGTTGTGTGGCTTAATGTTTACATAAGGAAATCAATTGCATTGTCTATGTTTTTCTTGTTTTAGTTTATTATGTTTTCCTTATTTTATCCAATGCTCTATATTATTCAGAGATATCACATCTCTCAGAGGTATGATCCCACACCACACCCACCACGAAGGCACCCATGGTCACCCACCAAAGACCACTGTATTCCCTCCCAACATTGCTCTCCTTCTTCCCACCCCTCTGGTAGCTTTAATTCTACAGACAGATTTCTAGGGTTTCTTATTGGTTTGGTTTTGACTGGACCTTTTGTTTCTTTATATTACATCTATAAGTGAAACCATGTGATATCTGTCTTTCTCCTTCTGACTTGTTTCACTTAACATTACCCCTCCACTTCCATCTATGTTGTCATGAATGGCAAGAGTTCATCTTCAAAAAGCATGTAAACAAATAGGACTGCATCAAATTAAAATTGCCTGCCCAGCGAAAGAAACTATCATTAAAACAAAAAGACACCCTGCTGAGTGGGAGAAAATGTTTGCATATCATGCATCTGACAAGGGACTGATATCCAAGACCTATAAAGAACTCATACAACCTCAAGAAAAAATAAATAACCCAATCAAAAAGTTGGCAGAAGAGCTAAATAAACACTTCTCCAAAGAAGACATACAGATGTCAGGCACATGAAAAAATGTTCATCATCACTAATCATCAGGAAATACAAATCAAAGCCAAAATGAGACACCACCTCACACCAGTGAGAATAGCCAATATTAAAAAAATAAATAAACAAATAAACCCAGAAACAAGAAGTATTGGTGAGGATGTGGAGGAATAGAAACCCTTGTATACTGTTGATGAGAATGTAGACTGGTTGAGCCCTTATGGAAAAGAGTGGGAATGTTTCTCAAAAATACTAAAAATCCATCTCCCACATGATCCAGCAATTCCATTCCCAGGTATCTACCCAAGGAATGAAAAATACTAATTCGAAGGGAAATGTGCACTCTTCTATTCATCACAGCACTATTTACACTAACCACAGTTGGGAAATATTCCAAGTGCCCAAGGACAGATGAGTGGATAAAGATGTGGTGTATGTGGTGTGTGGCAAGAGTTCAGAATAATTCCATTTATACCTTAAAAATGACCTGAAACCTGACACCTTTTAAAGGTTCCCGAAATGATTGTAAGTGTGCAGGCCAAGAAAGGTGTTAACTCCATCAGGGTTCACTGATAAATCCCTGACACTTGTGAAGACAGGAAGAGATACTTGCAACGAAATCAGTAAATTCCCAGAGACCTGGTTGCCCTGAACACCTCTCCTCTTCCAACCCAGAACCTCCACCTTCCCACAGTCAGTAATTAAGACAGTTGATGCCTGGCCTAGCAGGAGTCCCATAGAGCCTGCTTCATCATTTAGCCAGATTCCATTCTTTTTAGTCATTGTCCACTACTGTACCTATTAATACTTTGAATGTCACTTTTGCAGCCAGTGTTGAGAATCACCAATCTAGTCCATTCAGACAAACATCTGAGTATTTTATCCATACCACACCAAATAACTAGTTTGACTACATCTTCACCTTTTTTTTCCATGCACTGAACTAGGCTTAAGACCTTAAGCAAGTCATTTCCTGCCTCTGAATTCCATTTGAAAAGCAATAGAGTTGAATGAGGTCCTCTTTCAAGATGCTTCCAACTCTGGATTATACGGTTCTGTGATTTTATGAATCATGAATTCGGCAAAAGTGAAAAAGGCTCCAGGAGAAGTGAGAGCCAAACAGATCCTTCCTTTACACTGACACACACCAGCCAAAGAAAAACCACAGTGTGTGTGACTTGTATATTGCCATTCTTTGGGGACACAAGTCTTCCTTGAAACAGTTTCCCTCAAACCAAGTAATGGGTTTTAGAACTGGAAGTATGAAGATGACTGCATAATATGGGCCAAAGATACAAATATTATTAGAGCTGATTAAGAAGTTAGTGCATCCACTTGTAAAGTATGATCTAGACATTCACTTACAGCTTCTGGCAGTAGCTTCTTCCACAGTGGGGTGCCATACTGCAGGAGGGCAATTCACCTTGACTTGTTTCATGTCCATGTGCCACCAGTTACCAATGGCAAATCCCCTGTATGTGGATTATAGGGAAACAGAGAATTACATTTGTTTTATTGGTCCCTCCAGAAACTTCAACAGCTTCGAGCTGTCCTAACCCAGTCTATGTATCTTTTGGTCAAGTATTCCATTGGTTTTACAATCTCACAGCAATTCTTAGTTCCATGGCTCTTTAAACACAGCTCACTTTATCTGGATCTTTTCACTTTTCACTCAGTCTTTCCCAAGGCAAGATTCCCAAGTGGTAACTGGAATCATGTTTACAACGGTCTGCAGTGAGCTGGTGAGCTGGCAATTGTGTAGTTCATTCAGTCCTTTGGATAGCCAAAATCATCCAGACCACTTGTCTATACTGGCAAATAAACAGCATAGTTGCCAAATCATTTTGTTTTGTGTAGTGGAGGTACAACTTGTCCTCTATGCTAATAACTCTGGAGTGATCATCATAGGACTGCTCTCTCACCCCAGGCCACAGACCAATATCTCTCAAAATAGCAAGCTCGGCTCATGTACTATGAAACCTCGGTGTAAAACTCAGGGCCTCATCTCAATCTCCACCCCCTCTGCCCTATTCAAATGCACCAAACACAGCCCTGTTCCCTTGTACTGATCACTCCTCATTTCCCTCAAGGGGATACCAATAATCAAAGATGAGATGATAATGTAACCGTGAAATGAAATACATGGTCTATTAGTCAGGGCAGAGATGACAGAATTGGAATGAAAAGATGGGACTGGACCCACTTATCAATGAAAGAGCACACCTGGGTGGGCTGGATTGCTTTTCAGCAAACATTTGTGAGGAATTAGTCAGATTGGTGTTAGAATCCCTTCTCTTTGTATTATCCTGGGACTCTACTTTCTTCTCCACATAAGACTCCCTTCTTCATGGCATGCATCAGAAATTTTCAGAGTATGCTCTGTGCAAAGACCACCCACAATAGAGCCAATTGACGTTCTATTTATTTATTTATTTATTTATTTAGAAGATTTATTTACTTATTTATACAAGCACTGGGTACAGTCAGAAGAGCGGAGGGTGAGAGAATTCACCAGAGCCAGAGCGGGCAGCAGAGCAGGCAGAAGGACCGAAGTACACTGCTGAGGGGAGCAGCGGGCGGCAGGAGAGGTCTGCGCACCATGTGGGACCCTCCTCTGGTGGCCGGGGAGCAGCCGGGGCTCGAACTGGCGCTGCAGAGGCTGTGGGCAGCTTCGCAACCCAGCGCTCAACCACCGCTGCGCCACCAGGGAGGCCCTGACATCCTATTTAAACTGCAGGATCCTGAGCCCTTTCAATCCTAATTAATACAGACTAAAATTAAAGAACCATTGCTCTTTATTTGCTCAATTAGC